CAAGCAGGCGGCTGAGGAGCATTCAGAGCAAGACCACCAGGCTCAGATGTTAATAGTTAGACTTCTTGATCTGGGACCTGAGTCCGAATTTCGTACCACAAACATGCAAATGTGAGCTGGTATGACAATAAAAAAAATCCTTGAATCCTTCAAGTAATTAAGAGACTAGATTAGAGATACGTGTTGATTAGTACATGTGTAGTACATGAGGTAGAAACATGTTTTGATATGTAGTTAGCAGTGTAATGATAGTTTTGTACTATTAGCGCTTAGTATTCTTAGTTTAGCGTTTTTCTTTGTTCATATTTTAGATCTTATTGTTGTTCTTCTTTACAATTTATACTTTTGTTGGATGTAACTGGGACCCTGTGTACACAATTTCGTGTGCATGACAAATATAGAAACTCTGACTTTGACTTTGAAAACAAACAAAAACGGCAGCATTACATATTGTGCTCCTTAGTGTGTCAGAAGGTTCATTAAAGATTTCCATATTTATTTTTTTATATTTTAATTTTTCTTCTTTCGGCTGCTCCCTTCGTCAGGGGTCGCCACAGCAAACTAAGTTGCACAAAGACTTGGCTATCGTTTTTACGCCGGATGACCTTCCTGATTCAACAGACCACAGAGCTACCACAGCCCTCTGTGTGGAGCTGCTATCTAGGGTGCCCGGGGAGCAGATGGTGGGGGTTAAGGGCCCAGAGAGGGGCAAATTAGAGTGGAGACAGGTGTGGGTGCTTTACCTTTCCCACCCACATTTTGATGTTTTCAGTCCAGGGAGTCAAACTGGCGACCTTCCGATCACAGCACCTTCTGTAACCTCTGCACCACCACTCCCCAGAACATCATTAAAGGTTTCCACATTAATTCATATTCTTGGGCCTGTCCTTTGTTAATACGAGTCGATTTCTCTAGATATAAATGACCACAACATCCTTGGCATACATCTCTCATAAACATGACTTTAGCTGACAAGGCACTCCCACTCCAACAATCTGTGCGTTTCAATACAAAAAGATGATTTTAGGTTAAAACTAAGATGAACGGTGGCAGTCGATATACATCCCTATACAACTCGTGAGTTTGGGGGTAAAACCAGATTATCGTTTCATCACCTTCCTGACTAACAAAGGGGTCGATGTAAAGCAGACATGAGGGAGATCCCACCTGGCAGCACGAGAGCCATTAATCAGGAGCTTCAGCTTCCCAGAGAACTGTGAGCCTGCGGGGCTTTGCTGCTGAACGTGTGCCGTTGGTGCTCGAGCTGCTCCAGCTTTCAGCCACATCTGCCAGAACTGGAAGGGGACTGGCTGCGCGAACACACACCGACTCATAATGCAGCTTAGTGTGTGCGTAAAGGCATGAATTAATGATCTGACAGAGGTGTGTGTTTGCATACGTGTGGGTTGTATTTATGTATTTGTGTGCGCTTTCATGAATTATGCATTCCACATAATGACGGTGGTTATTACCAGCTCATCACAGTTTATTGATCTTTATATCAGTTCTGGCTGTAATCGTCTACATGATAACAGGGAGCTTCATTAAGTTGTTTTCACCTCCACCTTAATGTCTTTCCATCTTCCACTTCAGATAACTTCCATCAGAGCTGCGTTAAGTTTTATTTTAATATTGTTGTGTCAAAGCTGTAACTGATTTATCTTCGTTATCGACATTATTTCTGCAAAGGTCGGAAAAGTTGCACAAGGCAAAAGGTCATTTTGTCTTTGGATAATTACGCAGCAGCAGTCGTGACGTGTCGAAATCCTTCATTGTGCAGTTATGAGACCAAAATGGCCGCGGCTGTTTTTTCAGAAGGCAAGATGTGCATCATCCCCCATCGCTGAGCCAAAAGTCTATCAAAGTGCTTTCAGTCAGCCGAGGGAAGGAAGCTGGCACACTGCAGCGTGTTTCAGATGTTCGTTTCATCACCAGCCGAGCTAAAGCTGGATGAGCCGTGGTGACTCTCCCACCCACTGACGAGCTCACAGAGACCAGTTCTGGCCATGATGGACGAGTCTCGCTGCTTCACTGAAGGTCAACAGTCAGGGGCAAAGGTTCACAGTGACTTTATCTCAGGGCAGACGGCCATAGTTTCACCCTTGACAGTGAACTTTAGAGAAAATTAAACAGAATAAAGAAAGATGAGGATCCTCTGAAAGGTTCAAGCTGCAGAGCGAAACACACACGATGCTCTTGTTGAAGAAAACTAAATGTTGATTTTATACATATGTATTTTAATATATATGTATATAAAATGTAAAAACAAACAAAAAAAAAAAACAATATACTTTGTATATTTTAATGTATTTAGATATACCAGTGTGGTTGCTACTGAGGATTTCAGCATTTCTGTTAGAATATAGAATAAAATTATGTAAATGAGAAGAAAGTATTCATGTACAAAAAAAACCCCAAAAACATAAAAAACTGTGAAAACAAAGCCTTAACTTCACTTGCATGGCTAACTGTTTTCTTGTTTTAAACTTGTAACACCAGTCTATTTCATGGAAATAAGGCAAAATGTTTTCAGTTTATAATGTAGTTTATCTGTGGCCTAAAACAGAAAACAAAACGTTTAAGTTTTTCCTAATTTAACTTTCGTACAAATTTTAATTGTCCTTAAATAAACTTTAGACCTAAACTTTATACACACACACACACACACACACACACACACACACACACACACTGCTGTTTTATTTAGGATTCGGAGGAGAACCCATTTTGTTCATTATCTTTTCTCCTCCTTCACAGGCTTGGGTTTATTCAGATTTATTCAATAGAAATGCAAATGTTGCACATCTTCTGCTGTGTTTCGTCGTCTTACGAGAAAAGCCTTTAAAACGGTCATAATCATCTCGATAAAGTTTTCACTAAAATAATTTGTAGCTCCCTGAAGTGGCGTCTCATCGGTGTCTTCACCTTTCGTTTGGCTGAATGCGTTTTAAAATGTTGTGTATTGAAGATAACTGTGTTTAACTGTGAACATGTTTGTCCTCCCAGCCCTATGACTGTGCGGAAAGGAAACCGTCTAGGCATCTCCATCCAGGAGCACATGGCCATCGATGTGTCCCCGGGCCCCATACGCCCCATTCGACAAATCTCCGCCTACTTTCCGCGCCTTTCGCCCACTTCCTCCTTCTCAGAGCCGCTCTCGCCCAATCAGCTGTCGGCGCCGGCTGCACTCAGCCCGGGCGGCGCGGGTCAAGGTGGCGGCACTGTCGGAGGACGGGCGAGCAGTGACCTTCTGTCTCCGCTGTTACCAGGAGCTGCAGGAGGAGGAGGGTCACTGTCGGCCATGAGCAGCATGGACACCAGCATCGAGATCGACAGCGGCGACAGCGACGACAATAGTGAGTCACCTGGAAGTAACGACCAGGTTTCACACAGGAAACAAACAATTAGACTGACAGACCTGGACACACCAAATGAGCAGTTTTACCTGTTTACACCCAGAAACAGGTTTACACAGAAATAAACCTCGGTGACTTTTCCTTTTAATGGACGACAGGCTGTCAACAAAACTTTCAGCTGCATCTGAAACATTCAGCCTCAGCACCAGCGACATACAAACAGCACATAGAAAACAGCAACAAACTAAATGGTGTTGTTTTTATAATTAGGCAGCATTCTGTCACATGGGTATGACATTTTGAAAGAGTTTTAACCAGAAGGAAGACTTCTGCCCTTTTCTCCAAACTTCATGCTCTATGACTGACATTTCAGCTGATAAGGTACTTGATAACTATTTGAAAGAACATTAAAACAACCAGACTATCCCTTTAACAATTCTTAGGAGAGAGGGAAAGGAGAAAGCTTTGCCTGTGCGTTCAGCGTTCAAAAACCGAAAAGCTCAAAAGCTTAAAAGCTTGAACTTCTGTACTTTTCGATTTTAATCAGGAAACCTCCTTAAATGAGAAGTGAAAGATCTTTAAAAATAAAAAAGTCCAATTATCAGCAACTTCAAGGACTCAAGATTCTTTATTTGTCATACACACCACATGTGGTTCATGAGGCGGAACAAAATTGTGTACACAGGGTCCCAGTTACATCCAACAAAAGTATAAAATATAAAAGAAAAACAGTAATAACATCTAAGATATTAACTTAGAAAAACATTAACTAAAAATATGCCAAGCACTAGTAGTACAAAAACAATATGTCAAACAGCAGCACGAACATGAGTTTGTGTGAGCAGATGAGCACGCATGAACACATCAACATGAAACAGATCAGCAGCAACATGAAACAGATCAGCAGCAACATGATGTGATTTTTCCACAGTGATTATTCTGGTTAGAGATTCATGAGTCTAAAAGCTTCAGGGCAGAAGCTGTTCCTCAGTCTAGTGATTCTACACTTAATGCTCCTTAACCTCCTTCCTGAGGGGAGCGGGGCAAAAAGTGTGTGCGCTGGGTGAGTAGGGTCCTTCATGATGCAGGTGGCCCTCTTCCTGCATCTGGAGGTGTAGATGTCTGTGATGGTGGGGAGACTGAGTCCAACAAACTTCTGTGCAGCCTTCACCACTCTCTGCAAAGCTTTTCTTTCTGCAGCTGTGCAGCCTAACTTCTTTAAGCTATTATTATTATTATTATTTACTTTTATCGGTATTTACCAGGCAAATCCCACTGAGATCACAACTCACGTGCATGCTACCATAAGAAAGATGAGATGCATTTTAACTTATTTTATGTCATTGTTTAAAGAAGTTTTTTGTTTCATCATCTCTAGATAGCAATGCTCATTATGTCGAGATAATGATAGAAGAACCAAGTTTGTTTTCTCAAGATATTATTTCGTTACTTAGATCTAGAGAAGCTCATTTTCACATGCATGAAATTATTTCAAAATTGAGACAGCCCTGCTGGAAACTGGTTCAAGCTGAAACTGACTGATCCAGTCATGCATTAGTGTTATATATTATCTCGGCTGATGTAAGTGCATGCAACACAATAAAAATGTAATTTTTGTTGCATAGTTATCTTGGTATCTCACAAAGCAACATTGTTTTTTTTTTTAGATATGTCTTTGGAAGTTTATAATGATGTAATAATCTCATCTATAATAGAATAATCAGCTTGTGTTTGAGAGTAGTATGTCAAAATCAACACAGGCAGGTAGGATTGTCTCAACTTCCACATCAGCAAAATGTGTTTAAACGTATTCAACATTTCCTGCTCATACTAGCTTGAAGTTTTTCCCTGCCATCATTTTTGATCTCTACTGCTGCTGATAAAGTTGTCATCATAAAATCGATCACCAAAGAAACTTTTTTCTCCTTCCATTAACTCTCTTGCAGCCTCCCTGGGGATGCTGGAGTTTGACCTTCTGTATGAGAAAGCCACGAGCTCCTTACACTGCACAGTCCTCAAAGCCAAGGTAAAGACTCCCCTGAAAACCTGAAACAATCTGTTACAATAATGTGTTCAAATAAATTGTCTTAGAATTCTTTCAAAAACATCTCCATACTTTGGTCACTGTCGAAACTGCCTAATTTCTGCATAAAAACATGTTTTCATAAAGAATTACCTCCTATTATTAAAGAATTAGCATGCTAACACCATGAAGCTGCTGATGCTATCATACTATATTGTCTTTTAGAACATGTTAGCATGCAGAGCACATTTATGCAAAACTCCCAGACACACAGCGGACTGCTCTTACCTGCAGCCGTGCTGTGACAGCTTACAGAGAAGATATTAAAATGACAGACGTGGATCTAGTGCACATTACGTTTCATGGTCCAAAAATCATAGCTCTTAAGTGCTTCTTTAAGTTCTTATGTTCCAAAGGTTTAGTTTTCTTTAAATATTAAAAAAAAAAAGTGTTTTATTGAATAGCTTATGTGTTTTTAGACTGGGTCCAAGGCAGCTTGGTGGTCAGTAACACAGGTTCAAGCACAAGTTGTGTCAGAAAGTGCATCCGACATTTAAAAAAATTGCCATATCTTTCAACTAGTTCGCTTGCTGCAGTGACCTCTACAAAAGGGAGTGGTTTAAAGAGCAACAGCAGCAAATAGTTTTAAATCAAAATGTGCACGGGAGCCCATCACCTCCTATATTTGTCCATGTCATGCAGTTTTCAAATTAACCAAACTGCAACCAATGAGACTTAAGATAGGGTGGCACGGTGGGGCAGTTGGTAGAGCTGCCGCTTCTCAGAGGAAGGTTGATGGATCAAATCCCAGCGTGGGATTTGAGTGAAGTTTGCATGTTCTCCCTGTGCATACATGGGTTTTCTCCAGGTACTCCAGTTTCCTCCCACAGACCAAAAACATGCATGTTAGTCTGATTGGTAACTTTAAATTGTCCCTAGGTGTGAGTGAGAGAGTGAATGGTTGTTTGTTTCGTTTGTCTCTGTGTCCCTGTGATGGACTGGACACATGTCCAGGGTGTCCGTCCCCCTGCCTCTTGCACAGTGACTGCTGGACATGGGCACCAGTGACCCCCGTACCCCACGGGTAAAGATAATGCATGATGGCTAGAGTCTTAAGATAACCATCCATCATTATCTTTTACCCACTTCTTCCTTTTTGGGTCACGGGGATCACTGGTGCCCATATCCAACAATAACTGTGCGAGACACCCTGAACCTGGACAGGTCTCCAGTCCATCACAGGGACACATAGAGACAAATGAGACAAACAACCATTCACTCTCTCACTCACATCTAGAGACAATTTAAAGTTACCAATCAGCCTAACATGCATGTTTTTGGTCTGTGGGAGGAAACTGGAGTACCCGGAGAAAACCCACACATGCATGCATGGAGAGAATATGTGAATTTATACCTAAAGTATCTTCTAGCCTTAATTTAAAATGAATCTCATGTTGGTGTTTGTTTAAAAATGCATTTTGGACGTTTGCCCGGTGCTCCTTTAATATCTTTTGCTTTCTCTGTAAGGGTTTAAAACCGATGGATTTCAACGGTTTGGCGGATCCTTATGTCAAGCTGCATCTGCTGCCAGGAGCATGCAAGGTCTGATTTTATAACCAGCAAAGCTTTTTGTGTGTTTTTTAATAAAAGATAACGACCTTCAGGTACCTGTTGCCAACAGTGCTGAAGCACACTTTTCAATCAAGTTCTCATTTTAGACTTTTATCATCAAAATGCATTCGTAGACGAATAAACCAGCAGTAAGACGAAATGACCTTAGGTTTTCCTTCCTCTGCTGTGATGTGCAGGCCAATAAACTGAAAACCAAGATTGTTCGAAACACACTCAACCCAGTCTGGAACGAGACGCTCACCTACTGCGGGATCACAGAGGAGGACATGTACCGCAAAACTCTCCGGTAAACGTCTCCTCAGACGAGGTTATTTCCGTCCACTTTATCTCCAGCCCCTCTGTGTTTCTAAACCCTTCCAGATCTGACTCAGGATTACAAAAGACTTCTTATCTCCTGTCTCCGTCACTGAGTCTTCTGCCGTCAGTTAAAAGCAGTTCACTATCTCTGCTGATCCTTCTACCCTCTTGTTCTGTCACCTCACCCTCGTCCCCTTCTCATTTTTAATCTTTTCTGTCCACCAAGATCAGAAAAGATCTCCCCTTTCTCTTTGTATTTCTTTCCATCTGCCTCCTTTGCTTTTTGTTTTCCAAACTTGTAGTGACGGATTGAGGTCAGACGAAGCACCGCCGGGTGCTTTAATTCATTGACGCCCCCTCTGGAGGTGACCAGAGCTGTGAATTGTCTCTGCCTGTGACTAAAACTTTTGCCGTGGCACGCATGAGAGTTGGATTTGAACAGGATCGACGGGTTGCTTCTCCAGGGAGATTAGAGAAACTGGCCCTACTACCAACCCGTGACGCTGATTTAATTTTGCTGAGGCACGTAAACAACAGGAGACTTCAAGTTTGACTCGAGAGAAGCACACTGATGCTGACTGTTGTTTATCAAAAGCCTTTTTTATCTGAGACATAAATCATCCTAATGTTCATCGTGGATGCTTCCAGGTGTCATCTGGTGTTTTGAATCTCTAAAGAAAAGTCTTACCTGACAAATCAGTGATGGATTACAGGCAAAGAAAAAGTGATATTTACTAAACCAATCCATCATACACATGCTCTTCATTTTTAGCTGATTAGATATGTATTGTTTCCTAGTTTTCTGGTAAATTTCTTTCTGTAAAAGCAGAAAGATTTGTAAACTATGAGCCAAAGGCTGTAGTGAGGAAACAAGTTACATAAAATGATGGTTTTCTGTCCTGCAGCCTCATTCAGGTCAACCACAACGTATGCAATATACCACGAGAAAATAAAACACTTCAGGAAACAAACTGCACGGCCCTCTCACTTCAAAGGGTGCCACTCTGAAATAAATTATCCAGATGACCTGTTATGGCCTTCAGAGACTGTGTGAGGTTAGTTCCTGTTCTGGTCCATCTGGACCACTCATGAAACGGTGACTTCTGTACCATTAATAACTCATCATGTAAGTGTCAGTCTGTGAATCCCAACAGAAAATGAGTCATGCAGCAGAATTAAACACACAACAGGTTCCATTAAAAAGAAGAGGATGATTAATTATGGCTGCACGGTGGTGAAGTTGGTCAGCAGTGTTGTCTTGCAGCGAGGAAGTTCAGCGTTTGAATCCTGATTGGGGCCTTTTTGCATGTTCTCCACATGCACATGCAGGTTTTCCCAAGCACTTCTGTTTCCTCCTAGTTGACGTGTGGATTTGTATGTGGCCTTTTGGTGGACTGGTGTTGTAGGTTTGCTTTGCGTCTTGCTCATTGACTGCTGGAGATATGAGGCACCAGCTCCCCGCAACCCTGAACTGACTCAAGCAGATGAAAATAAATGGACCGGTAAAGATCTAACCATTATCATTAACTCAATACTGCGATGACAAAATGAGTCAGAATGAGCTCAGGCCGCAGTTGAACAAAAACGTGATTATTGTCATAATTGTGATTTGTGTAAAAGTGAGCCCACAAAAACACATGTAGTAATCCCAGTACCTAAAGAAGAAAATAATCTTCTTAATTTACCTTTAAGTTAAACTTTACAACAGGCATGCCCTCAGAATTCATCCATTAATTTTTATTTTTTTTCCCTTTGTCGTTTGACATCTTTGCTATCTGCCTTATAGTGCCGGGAAATCCCTTCATGTAATGTTTGGTATCATTGTGAAGCTTGGGGATTCTTTCAGTAAAGAGCTGGAAATCTTGATGTCACTACAGAAAAAAAAACCTGAATAAAAATGTTGAGCTTTAAAACAGACACTCGTAAACAAAACGACCTTGTTGCCAGGTTTGGTGATAAATCACCAATTTTCAACAAACTTCTTATAAGTCTCTCTGGATCTACGTCGACGCTCATTTTCTCTGAGTTCAAGCTCTTCTCTTCAAAATGAGCTTTATTCTCTAATATTTAGTAATAACAATAGTACTACATGTTGAGTTTCACTGGATAACTTCACTAGAACGTACAAACATCTAATGTTTGATTATATTTTCTATTAGAAAAATAATCAGTTTTAAAGTCTTTATTTTTTTTAAACATGAAATGTTCATATTTCATATTCGAGAACAAACACAGAAGAATTAACCTTCCTGCTGCCCTTGGGCCGACATTACCTACGAAGCCTCCGTCTTAGCTCTAAGGCCTCGTGGGTCATTTTGACCCAAGGGCGGCAGGAGGGTCACAAGTGAAAAACAAAAGTGGTCACAAATTGAACCAGGAAGTGTAGATCCACAAAAAAAGACAACTAAATTCTGAGCTGGAGAGTTGAATGACGTCACTGTTTGACCAAGATAAAATCTGTAATATCTCCATTATTATTTTTGCTTTCCTCTTTGTGTGCGTCTGTAAGCTCTTCTACAGAAAAGCCCCGGTGCTAAATGAACCCGTGGTTTTAGTAAAGTGTAGCAGAAACAGAAAACCTCCTGAACTCTTCAGCTGCACAGAGTCCAAACCTGTTTTGTTTCCCGTTACGACGAGGATCTGTAGACCGATGCCTTCGTGGAGCAGATGTTTCTACTTGCGTTGGTGACATTTTAAATCAGTTTGTAGTGAATATGAGCTGTCAGAGTAAAATGTTCACATTTCCTACCTCACATCCAGCAGACACTTGACACTTCTCTCACATTTGACCCTTTGACCTTTTGTACTCCTGTCCCCTTGGATCAGTTGTCACCTCTCACTTTATTTCTCTTTATTCTCCTCTGCTCTGTTTGTTCTTTATCTCCCCTGGTCTTACTATTTCTTCAATTTCTCTTCTTTTATATGTTTTTTATGTTTAACAAAAGCAGATTTTTGCAGCTCCAAGGCACCCAGCCTGTGCACCAGCCACATTCTGGCTATATTGTGTTTCATTACCAGAAAATGGAAAGTGGGGTGTGTCTTTGACCTGATTTTTAGTTAGAAGCCAAATAAAAAGACAGAAAAAGCTCCTTCCTCTAAAGATTCATTGGATCGGTCAAGTCGTATCTTTACATTTTTGGATTCCAGCTACTGCATGTTTAAATTACTTCTCCTGTTTTTAACCTTTCTTTCTCACCTCGCGTCACTCCGGCCTCTCAGATGGCACCTTTTCATTTCACATCTCCAACCTGCCTCCATCTCCTCTGCTCCTCTGTGCTGCCCCCACCCAAACCGTAATGTTTCAGCTGACACTATGGCAGGTGTAAGAGTTCACCAGGGCCATAAATATGGATTGACTTAACCGTCTGTCGTGCACTTTCACACTTTCTGAACTCCCAGTGGAGGAAAACGTGACAACTGAATATTTAAATCTTTATGGTGTGCTTGTTATTGCTCATAATTTGTTTTCTAATTCTGATCAGGTTTCCATCACTCACTTCCTTTTCTTGTTTTATAGTTGACAAAATAACAGCATAATACAATAAGAATCTATATATTTTTATATATCATGCACCTGCAGACACACAAGCAAACACACAAATACTCTCAACTCCTTCCAGATTCACATCTCTGCCTCATTAACCAGCTACTCTTTATTTTTTATTCATGCTGCGTTCGCTGTTTGTCATTTTTTTTACCTTCCCCTGCCAGCCCTGTCTCTGTTTGTCTCCCAGGGTGTCTGTGTGCGACGAAGACAAGCTGACACATAATGAGTTCATCGGGGAGTCGAGGGTGGCCCTGCGCCGTGTGAAGCCTGACCAGACCAAACACTTTAACATCTGTCTGGAGCATCCACCTCCTGTGAGGAAATAAAAAAGAAAAAAAAAAGGGGGGGGGGGCATGGAAATATTAAAAAGGAGAGCAGGAGACAGGAGAATAAGTGTTTGAGACAGATAAATGGCTGCAGGGTGGTCTAGTTTTCTGTAATGCTTTCTGTGTGTGAAGCCTTTTAGGTGAAAAGGTGAGAAAATGACAGGGAGGAGAGGTGAGTCGGTACCTGGGAGGTGTTAAAACTGCTCCACTGACAAACCACTGTGATGGTAAACACACTCCTAAAACAGTGTATCCATATGTTTATCTGCAAGATATTAAAAAAAGAACAGAGAAAATGCTTCTGGTAGCAGTTAGACCCAAAGTTCCTCTTCTCGTTTAAAATCTTATATTTAAATGTTAAGTAAACAAGTTTTCTTCTGCCTGAAGAATTGTGCAATATCTAAGTATGCATGAAGAAGAAAGTGTCAGAAAACAGAACAATAATGAGGCTGTTCGTGACCCAACGTTCTCTTTTTGTCATCTGCATGGACACAAAAATAATTACATAAGGGAATAGCGTTTCAAAGCATTGTTTTATGTGCCTGCTCATGTTTCAACCAGTTAAAAAAGGGAAAGCTTGTGTTTAAAAGCAATATTTCAGATCTTTTGAAGTATGTGGAATAGTTATGAACAATAATTATCTAACTTGTTGAAAAATTGTCTATGTAATCATCTCAGGTTGGAGAAACAGTGTGATTTTGACCAGGTTGACGAGCTAATGGCTTTACCGTATTTTTCGGACATAAGGCGTATTAAGCGAAACAAAACAATCAGATAAGTCAAACTTTATTCAACTCATTAATAACTCTCAACATTGTTCAGTTGTACCACATAAAATCGGTTCCAGGTCAGTAAGCACAACCAGAATTAATACACAAGGCGCACTGGATTATGAGGCTCACTGTCGATTTTTGAGAAAATTAAAAGGATTTTAAGTGATCCTTATAGTCTGAAAAATTCAGTATATATGGCTTTTAAATCATCATAGCACCATCACTTCCTCTTATATGGTTAAATGCAATTTGCAATAGCAAATTACAGCAGAGCAGCTATCTGCGGTTCATACAATTTAATTTTTGTGATATTTTTGTTGGAGTAAATGTGTAGCGCAAAATTTAAAAAAAAAATGTTTTCATGAACCACTCTGAAATCTTTCAGATTGGAGTTGCTCTAAAACCGCAGAAACAGTTCAGTCTAAGCTTTACTTGGACAAGCTGTTAGCTCATTGATTTAGTCAGTATTAAACTCTTTTTCCCCCAAAACTGCAACCAGTCACTGAGCTATCTACAACAGGTAAGATATTAACTGTTCATAACCTTTCCATGAACCCACTAGAAAATGTTACCCATTCCTTTAATGCTGGAGATATGGTCCTATGAACATAATTTTTTATGTTCGACACCACCCAGCAGTACTTTAGCTTTTACTCACCGTTGAGTTTAACATTTTGACATGAAATAAACTTTAACGATTAATAAAAACGGCATCATTTGGTTTAACAAAGAGCCACGCACAAAGTGCCACATGCTCAACATTTTTTACACATTCTGCCACCCATTGAATAAAAAAAGGATTAAAAGATGGATTTTGTTATATCCCTTATTTAGTCCTATATGAACTTAGATTGTTTAGTCCAAGCAGTCTGGATCCAACATAAGTCTGTAAATTTCAGAGATAACCATTTATTTTAAAGCAGTGTTCATCAACTGGTGGCCCATGGGCCAAGCTCACTCTATTTAACTTGCAAAGGATTTGATTATTAAACAAACTGATTCCGCTCAGTTCACTTGCTAACAGCACGTAATTGGACCAGACTTTGACTTTGACACAAGGCAACTTGCCGCTGAGCTCGCCTCCTCACAGTTTGAGCAGCAAAATGAGCACATTTGTTGCTGATCCCTGTTTTAGACCCCGTTCAGACCTTGCATTAACATCAATCTTGGGTGATTTGATTGCAAGTGGTGAGCATTCACACCTGGCAGTAAAATCTGCACCCAGAGACATCCACGTACCGGTAATAACTCTGTGTGGAGTCGTGTCAGTCCTGCAGGAGTCCTGGATCAGGACAGACTGTGTTCAGACTATCAAACACATTTCCAGGTAAGGGTCCAGATCACCTAGGAAGGTGGTTTGACTGAAGACTTTTTAATGTGCACTGAGGCCATTCACCTGTATTTAACGTTAATAAATGCAATGAGAAGAGCAGCACGGTGGCACAGTTGAGCTGTTGCCTCTCAGCGAGAAGGTCGCCGGTTCAAATCCCGGACCGAGACTTTTCTGGGTGGAGTTTGCATGTTATCTCTGTGCATGCATCGGTTTCCTCCCACAGACCAAAAACATGCATGTTAGGCTGATTGGTAACGCTAAATTGTCCCTAGGTGTGAATGAGAGAGTGAATGGTTGTTTGTGTCCCTGTGATGGACTGGAGACCTGTCCAGGGTGTCCCCTGCCTCTCGCAAAGTGACTGCTGGATTTGGGTACAAGTGAACCCCCACGACCCAAAAAGGAAGAAGCGGGTAAAGATAATGGATGGATGGATGGATGGATGGATGGATGGAATGCAATGAAATCAACCAGGATGGATGTTTGTGCTGTCAACAGGGTTTGATTTTTTTTTTTCCTTTTTTGTGTCTGTAGATAATTTTAAACACCCAAACATTAAAAATCTATTTACTCCTAATTTTTATACTTAATATTTTGTTGCTTTTTTGGTCTCTAATTGTATATTTTTTTATTCTGTTTCAGGCTAAGCTCTAATGTTAATGAATAGCAATCAATGAGCGATCTTTCTGAAAAAAGTTGTGTTTGAAGAACTGAAAAAAAAAACATGATCACACTTTTAACATTTTGTTAAATATATTGAAAACTACCGTATTTTCCAACGTATAAGTCACAGTTTTTTGCATAGATTTGTCAGTCCTGCGACTTATATGCCAAAGCGATTTATATAAGTTTTTTTTTTTACATATTCATAATGCTCTATTGACTGACACTTTAAATTTTGAAGAACTACAACAGCGAGTCCTCCTGTGTGCACTTGCTTCACTCAGCTGGTGCAGGCGGAGGAACGCTGGAGAGCTAGTGGCTTTGGCCGTGAAGGATGGGAGGGATGGATGGATGGCGCCGTGCCGCCCAGGCGAAATGAAGCTGTTTTGACCATTAAATAAACGCATAATAAACACAACGGGTCAGGGATGACACATAATACATGCGACTTATATGCCAAAGCAACTTATATATGTTTTTTTCCTCTTCATGATGCTTTTTTTGACTGATGCGACTTATACTCTGGAGCGACTTATACGCCGGAAAATACGGTAATTAAATCTTTAAAGGATATCCAAAAAATATCCCAAGACACAGCCTTTTTAAATTTTTATTTTGCAAACAAGCTGTTTTTAATGACTCCACAGACATGATTTAGGCCTCCTTCAAATTACAAATAAAAGGGAATTACATCTGCTTTTAAAGCCCATGAATAGGTTTTTTTGTGCAGGCTAAATGTCAGTCAGGCCACATGTGCACTACAAACGCTGAAGGATCAGAAAAATGAAAGAGTGCGAGGCGAAGGGGGGTGGCAGAGTGTCAATAGGCAGCGAGAGAGAGAGAGATGAGAAACAAATGGATTAAAAAGTAAAAGCTGTGGGAGGGGAGCGGGGAGAAAGAAGTGGGAGGTTGCTGGGGTTTTGTTCTTCGTATGATGGAAAGCCCTGCTGGTACTAGATTATCCCTCTGAGGCTGCGATCAAACGTTAAACCCCCTCAGACATCCTGAAACCACGTGCCGTCTCAGGCCTGTAACTTTAAAAACTGGCTTCACCTCCAGATTGATACAGCTGTCTTCTTAAACCTCCATTGCTCTCCTGCGCCTAACGCTCAGCTCTGCCTCTTCCTTTTTCTCTGCCTGCAGTTGCCTTCGCCGACAGCGATGAGCACGGCCCTGAGAGGAATCTCCTGCTACCTGAGAGAGGTGACCAGCTCTAGCTCCACATCAGTAAAACTGACATGTTTGTGTTTGCTCAGGGAAACTAGTGGCGGCCATCTTGGATTAAGGTGACTCCAAAATTTGAATGTGTACATCCAAGTTATTCTCTGAGGGTTTTATTGAAATCTGATGAGATATTTTGCTAACAGACAAACAAACCCACGCACACAGTGAAAACATTATCAGTCTCAGTCATACTAAAGGGTCTGAAAAACTACAGAGCATAAAAGTCTGTTAGACATCCATGGAATAAGTGAACAGAACCAGCATTGATTTTATTTATTGGTTTATTAAGCTTATAAATTTATGTTTTGGTAAATAATCTTTACTTTTCAGATGATTTCCCTTTAAAAAAAAAATAGCAAAAACAGAAACATCTTAACAACTCCACGACATCTATCATCAGCTACAAACTCAGATCCAATTCAGTTCAGTTTATTTATATAGCACCAAGTCACAACAGAAGTCATCTCAGGGCACTGTACAGAAACATTTATATATATAAAATGTAAGTTAATAAAGTAATCCCTCGCTACTTCACGTTTCGTTTATCGCGGACTCGCTCTATTGCGGTTTTTCAAAATGACATATGACTGATTGGCATGGGATTTTTTATTTTAAATGAATTATTTGAAATTATTTAGCACCTGCTGCATCTTTGTGTAGCCCACAGCTGCAGAAAAAGCATCCTCCTGCCTTTGTGAAGCCCATATTGCAGGATAAGCTTCCTGCTGTAGCTATCAGCTGTTCTCTGTGCAGAGCTAGGAAGTGGGCGTGGCCAAGAACGCTTGGAGGTGGCCAAGAGGAGGCAGAGAGCTAAAATCATGACATTCTGTGCTCT